TTGAGAGTTTGAATGACTTGTCCAAGGTAACACACAAAGCTAGTGACAAGTGTGAAAGTAGATCCCAGAAATCTAGGTTCTTAGTTCCCTTGTATTTCTGGTATTCCCATAACTATTAAAAAAAAAACCCAAGTTTCCTGAGTGACTTGTCTTCTGCCCCCTTTAGGAGTGGGGTGAGGATAGGAATGGAAGGCCTCTTGTCTCTGGTTTGCATATCTTCATTTGCTGCCTTAGCAGGTGTGTGTGTAGTGAGGCACCTGCTACCTACCTAATCTGTGGAGGCTGCTCATCTCTGTCTATGTGAACTTTACCCTTTTCCTCATTGTGATGGTTACAAAACATCTGCCAGTCCTCCAAATTTCCTAATAGGTGTATGAAATATTGGTTTCCAGAAATCCCAGAATCCCTACCCCATTTTCTTTTTCCAGCCAAATCTTTCATCTCCAACATTCCATTATAGTAATAGCCACACTAGTTATTTGTAGCCATCTTTCAACCGGGAGTGGCAAAGTGCTCTGAAAATGTCTGTGCAATGGGCAGACACCATAATCCCTTCAGGAATCAGACTCAGAGAACTGACTTCTATAGGGTTTCAGAGCAAAGGGTAGCTGATGAGTGAGCTTCTCCAGAGAGGTACTACCTTGTTCTTGCTTGATTCTCCAGCACTGTGCCAGGTACATACTAGATACTCAGTATGTGTGGTTGTTTATGAAAAATATGTTTGTGTGGGTGGGTGCGAGCATATGTATATAAAGTTGAAGATGTCTCTTGGCATCCAAATATAGTTTATTTCATAATATTACATGAACTATGTATATGAATACATACATGCAATTTAAATCCACACCTACATTTGTTTTAAAAATCATGAATAAGACAGACAAGCTATGTTAGTAGGTAGATTCATTCCCCTTAATATTCATAAATAAAATAAAGCAGGAGCTCCTTCTCTCACCTCTGATTTCTGGGTCTCACCAGTATTAGTCTATTCATAAATGTTCTTTTGTAAGACACTGGCTCAGGCTACTCAAGAAATGGAGATCAGGAGGATTCCAGTTCAAGGCCAGCCAAGGCAAAAAGTTAGTGAGACCCCATCCCAATCAATAAAAAGCTAGGTATGGTGATGTGTGCCTGTCACCTTAACTACATGTGTAGCATAAATAAGAGAATCACAGGCTAGGCTGGCCCAAGCATAAAAACAAAACTCTAACTGAAAAACATCTAAAGCATAAAGGGCTAGGGGCATGGCTCAAGTGGTAGAGCACACCTGGCAAGGGCAAGACCCTGGTTCAAACCCCAGTCCTGCCAAAAAAAAAAAAAAAAAGACACTTCTTCAAAATTAAGAAAGACTGTGATCTATAAAGGTGAGTTTGTGCCTCAGTCCTGCTTAAAACTCTCTGTGTCTGGTCCTGTTTGGACTATGAGAAGCCTGGCCCCTTGGCTATATTTCAGCCAAAATGGTTCAAGTCTTAAAGGCCACAGTGCAGAGCACAGAGGTGGCTAAGGATCCAGCTGAATCGAGCTGCTAAGACCACATTAACCTTTCACGGATCCCTTTCTTATTCCATTAAAAAGAAATCAATTGAATTAGAAAGCTGCCACACACACACACACACACACACACACACACACACACGGGGTGGGAGGGTAATATTTGATGTTATATGTATCAGCAAACTTTGAAATCATCTTTTTTTTTCTAGGAACCATTTGCAGACTTGAGATAAATACGCATTATATGTGTGATATGTGAGGCTAGCCCCTGCATAGTGAAAACCTAAATATACAGTCTTAAAAGCAAGTATAATTGCTGCATTTAACCTCTGAAAGTGAGACAACTGCACCAATTTATTAAGGTACTCAACTCTAGAGACCTGCAGAAGGCTTTTCTCAGACACACTTATGATTGACCTGGCTTCAGTGGTGTCTCTCCACTCCTTGCCAAGCACCGGGCCCAGTGTGAGACCCAGCACACAGGGACATCATGTGAGACTTCAGCTGTCTCTGGAGGACTCTGAGATGAATTACATGTGTTTGTGTTTTGTGCCTTCTTTTTCTGAGATTACCCAACAGAAACATTTGGTGTGAGTGTTAATATGTAACATACTCCCATTCATGGGAGAGACTGCCCCTCCTGTTTAATTATCTTCATGTAAGCAATTTTTTTCTTTCTAGAGCACCTGGTAAAAAGAAAACGATGGAAAGAATATATTGCTTAATAGTATGCTTTTCCCATAGTAGGTACTCCATCAGCATGTTTAATAAAATGCAAAATTATTCCTACATACTGTGTTTTAATATGGCATTTCTATATTATTGTATTTTAATATATACTGGGTAAAAGTTTGTACTGAAGTGTGTAATTTATGACACCAATTTGGTATTATTGAAGGGAGATATGGAGCTTTTCATTACTAGCCAATTTGCTTTGTTGAAGACATAATTCCATAGCAAAACTTGTATTTCAAGTAGTCTATTAAAAAAAAACCTCTCATTTGTTTTTTACTTCCAAAGTTTCATGAGTGCATTGTGTTAGTATAAAGAGCAAAAATATACCCTGGGTTAAAAACTGAAGACATTTAATAGAGGCATGTATTACAAATAGCATCTAGCCACACAGGAAGGTTAGGACTTAATATCTGAAATTCTGCAGCTCATTAGTTGTAGGATGTGAGTGAAATACATTTCTAAAGGGCAAGGTTAGTATTACATTATCCTGGAAATGTCTTTGCTGAATAAATGTGTAAATATTTCAAATAAGTATGATGAGATTATATTTCTATTGGGGACATTTCTGTAGAAGGAATGATTGTGCTACTTGTAATTGCAGGAGCACATGTCACGATATGTCTTTCCCCATTACCGATTTCATTTGAAATGGTCTGGAAATAAATACTGATTACTAGTGATGTAAGACTATTTACCTTGGAGTCAGATGCCTGACAGGCAGGCTAGAGCTAATGGATTTGGTTATTTTCTAAAGCAGGATACTATTTTAAAGTTAACATTGTGAATTCTCAGAGTTGTACATCTAGCTTCATTTGTATCAAATACAGAAGAACAGAATTATAAACCTGTAATCGCTGATATCCTTTTTCATCCTTTAACAACAGAAGCGAAAATTGTACCTATGACCTACCAACAGGCTAGCTTGGTGTTACCCTTCCTTCTTCTAGTTGTTAGCACGGGGAAATCAAAAACCAAATTTAAAGGATGGTGTCACTGTCACTGAGGGGCGTTACCTCACTGGGAGATGAAGTTGCATCATGGGAACGTGGTGTGATTTAATTTCATAATTGTAAACATTACAGTGGGTATGCATGATTCCTCTGCAACTCTTATCCACTTCGCTATGGCTGGACAGCTGAGTTAACATGGGTACGTCTTGGCTTCACACTTTTATAATTTCTTTTCTTCATGTTGTGATTTTATTTGGAAAAAATCCTAAAGTAAAACTGTATTAGGATGAATTTATCTGAAACCACTTTTTTTTTTATAAAGACACAGCTTGACTAAAAGACTATGAACTTTTCTGACCTTCTAAATCATAGCACTGTGTAAACGTTTGGAAAACTTAATTTTGCCTTGAAAGGGGGTTGGAGGGTGGGGAAGTGTGTGAAACATTTTGCTTTCTACAGTGCTGGTTGTCTGCATGCGTTTTAAATTATGGCTCAACTCAGGGGAAAGGGCAACTCAGATAAATGGAAAAAGAACTGCTAACATTCTTCTTGTTTAATCATCATGAATGCAAATAATGACCATCTAATATTTTTAACTTGTAAATGGAAACGTAGAACAACAAAAAAGAGACTTGAAATTTCTCGAAAGAACAGCAGTAAGTACGCAAACTTGGCTTTTGAGAATAGTTTTCTTTTATGCTTAATACTACAGTCACACTTGCTAAAGTGTTAAATAATTCAGACTCTGGGTAAGTAGCTCTAAAATTCATCGTAAAGAGATTCACCTGTAAAATAATAATGTCATGATTTACGTTTACACAAGACCGGTAAAGAGGATTAAATTCAAAAGTTTGGAGGGAATTAAGTCTCAGTTGCAAGTTAAAATTCACAAAGTTGACCTTTAGAAACTTTTTTTCCTGTCCAAAATACAACGTCTCATCTTTAGAGTTCAGAAAACTACAGCCCTTTTCCGCTTACAGAGGGGACTTTCTAGAGAGCATGCTACATGAGATAAACCTGGGAATTTAGTGGCTCAAGTCAGCTGCTCATTTGGGCGATTGACATAGTACTCTATTCTCTTCTTCCGGATACCGGTGGTCCTACACGTGGGGTTTGGGGGTTGGAGGAGAACCAGGACCTCAGATGTTGGTGTGAGGAGGGTTACTAAGGGTTGGGTGGGTGGTGTTCCCCTGCCTAGGCAGGGTCTCTCCTGAAAGACTTAGGCGCGACCTTACTCCCCTGCTGGTGGCTTCGTTTTCTACCTCCCTGGTGAGACTGAACCTTCCGGATACAGCTAGGGTGCTCGAAGGAATGAGGGTGACTTCGGCCCCCCAAACCCTAAGCCTCTTTTCGCCAATATGTGAATGCATGCCAACATGCATTTAGCACCTCCAAGGCTCGTAGAAGGGAGGAGAGTGCCGTTGGGTGGCGCGCCTCTGGCCCCACCGAGTGGGGGAGGGGGAGAAAGTGGTCAAACTCGCGTCGCGTTGGGCGCCCGGGCGACCCCGGGTGATCGGGCTGGCGAGGGAAGGGCGGGGGACCTGGGTTCTGGCCCAGGGTGCGGGAGGGCGATGCGGAGTCGGGTGGAACCGCCGAGCCGCCGCTGCTCACCTGCCCTCGGGGGTGGGGCGGGGCGCGGCGCCGGGGCGCGCCTGCCTCCCGCCTCCCGCCTCCCGCCTCCCGCCCCGGGAGGAAGCGGAGGGGCGCGGTGTAAACAGAGCGGCGGCCGTGATGTCAGCCGGTCACATGGAGCCTCTTATGGCTCGGGATGGCTCTCGGCGGGCGGGCAGCTGCGGCAGCTGCTGCTGTGGCTCGGGCGGCGGCGGCGCGGCGGTGGCAGAGGGGGCTCCGGGGTCGGACCATCCGCTCTCCCTGCGCTCTCCGCACCGCGGCTTAAATGATGTATTTTGTGATCGCAGCGATGAAAGGTGAGCCGGGGCGCCCCGCCGGGGCTGGGTGGGCTGTCTGCTCGGGGGGCGGGGAGGAGGGTGCGCAGGGGGAGGGGTGGGCGCGCCTGCCCGAGCGCACGTACTGCCCGGGGCTGGACGCGGGATCTCGGCCAGGGCCTTCTGGGCCAACGCAGCGGCGCCACCTGAGCCCGGCCGCGGGATCGGCCTGCCTGCGGTTAGGGGCAAAGGCGCACGGGCTTAAACCCCCTCCTGAGTCCTCTCTGGTGCCTGTCACTCTCTGGGTCTGCCTAGCATCCGGCGGGGCTCCCAAAAGAAAGTTTGCCGGGAGTCTTCGCGCTCAGGCAAGGGAGGCGAGGGTCTGGGCAGCTTGGAAGAAGCCGGGACGCCCGCAGCGGATCCCTAGGGCCCGCACCTAGGACAGCTCTGGCCTATGTGGGGAAGGCGCCATGGCCAGGCCGGGCTGTGCGTGCGAATGGTCGCGGTGTCAACCCCAGGGACTGGTTAGCGCCCCAGGCCTTGTGCCTGTTTTCACACCCCCACCCCCTTACTTTCCCATCCATTCCCTGGCCACCGGGCAACTCCGAGTGCCCAAGCTCTAACCCGCTGGGGAAGTACACTGGGTCCGAGCTGCGTCCCGCCGCAGCCACTTCCGAAAGCGCGCGGGCCAGAGCAAGACTGGCGCCTCGAACGTGCCAAGAAGCCCTCGGCGGCCCCCTAACCGCAGCGCACCCCCACTTGATACTTAGGTTTGTGGATGGATGTGGGGAGGCGACTTATCAGCCCACAGGATTCGTGGGCAGAGGCCGAGGTTAGACCGTGGTGAGGACTGACGAGCGCGGGTTAGCGGCGGCCAAGCGTCTGCGCCCGGCCTTCCGCCCTGATCAGCTCTCAGCCGGGCCAGTAGTGGGATAGAAAAGGGGAAACGATCGTGATGGCAGGAAGAACGGGCTAGAGGTGCTGTCAGATGAGGAGGAAAGAAACCTTGGCAAGTCAGGGAAGTTTCTGATGGGAAAGCCAAAGTTTGGAGGTGTGCAAGAAGTCGCCTGTGAGGCCCGTCGAAACCGAGACGCGCTTGGAGACTGTTGGAAACAGCCGAGAGAAACTCAACCCGCAGCTCTCAGCGTCTCAAGTGCTTTCTGGTTCCTCGCCATAGATAATCTTCCCAGCGGTTTCTCAGGCCCTGCCGCGGGGCTTGGGGATTTAAACCCCATCTGTTTGCGGCGGACGCGGCTTTCCGATTGCGCAGCGATCGTGCGACCCCACACTGTCCTGCGGGTTCTGCCTACCCGTGCGGGCGGGCGCCGGGCGATCGTTAAACGTTTGCTAGGTCGGGGTTTTGTTGCAATCCAGGATGAAGGCCACCAGTTCGGTATCTGCGTTGGGTTTACTTTCGGATCACCGAGCTTTGCCTTTCCTCGCTAGAGATTGGATGGCATCTTTTATTAATTATTAACAGACTGAAACGTACTGGATGCTAAGATGAGCTTCGAGAGGTGAAATTTTTCTATATGATGTGCCCGCAGCAAATTTTCTGCCTGTTCCCCTGCCGTTTCTGGGAAATGGGATTTAATCATTTTTAGAATATGCAACTGCTGTATTAAAAGAGAGAAGATCTCGTGATAGCACGCTTTTAAGCATGTAAAATCATTTGGGAGGAAAAAATGTGAAGGTTTCTCACCAACTTCTTACGTAAAAGGAATCTATTTTCCTCCCGTTCCCCCCCACCCGAAAACTTTCCTGCTATTTCTGCGTTCCATTAATTCTGTAAGTGTAAAACGACTCAAATAGCCTTGTGAAGATATTTTATTCCATTTTTCTCCTGAAATTAAAACCCAGATTTTGCTATTGGGAGGTATTAATGCCAGCTTTTATCCATTTTATTTATAGTTTGTGTTGATTGGGAGAAAAGTGAGAGGCTGCGACATTTTAAATTGCTTTTTTCCCTAATGGACAGTAGCCGCCAAACAATAAGAGAAGGATGTTTTAATAACACAATTTCATTTTGATGTTTCCTAGTACATAGGCTTTTTGTTTTTGTATTTCCAGTTCAAAGTGAAGTTCTAGTACAGACTCTTCCTTTCTTCCTCTCTAATAGAATCATAAGAACCTTGTATATTCTTCCTCCCAAAAGCTGTCACCCACATATTTGTATTGGAGTGACCTCTGGCTGCCATAAAGTACTAGATTCATAGTACTGAGTTTTGAGGAAGGTAGCTGAGATGTCCTAGCGATGCAATTCTTGTGTAAGCTCGGCTGCCAGGACAGAGAGAGAGAGAGAGAATGAGTCTGAACAATTAGGATATTTCATTCCCAATATCACAACATCCTGGGCTTTAATGAGATTTTCTTGCTTTGGTGCAAATTGTAACTGAAAAAAATACTTTGTGGGGAAAGGAGGAATACCGTAAATGTTTCCATATCAGATTTAAGGAAAAAACCTGGCCCAGAATAATATTAAATACTTCCTTACTGCCGTTCAGTTTTAATAGTTAAATTGGTTCCATATGTAAGGAGTTTACATATGGATTGTTAGATTTTTCATGCAAAACAGAAACACTCTTCACAATATAGCATTTTGGTATGTGGATGCATGTGGATACAGGAGGAGAGAACAAGCAACCATAAAACAGAAACATCCTCTTTGTTGGCTGATTTACTGATGTTTTTTAAACATCATTAAAAGTCAGGCCTTTTGAACTCACCAAAGGAGAAAATGCTTTCTGTGTGTTAGTTGTCACATAAGTTTAGGCTTAAAGTGGTTTCATGCTTAGAAGTAATGCATCTTCATTTGAATAACTATAGTCTCATCCTTCAGTTTTGGTTTTAATTAACAACAAAATTTCACTAACGTTTGGATTTCTTTTTTTTCTTGTGCAAGCGGAAAGAGGCAGCAATGAGATTTATAATTAGGGGAGCACTTGCTCTGCTCTTCATAAAAATGCACTGGCCAAATGTCACAGAGCTATGGCTGAGTGGAGGAAGGAAATGTGGTGCTCTGTAAGTTCCAGCAGAGTAGAAAAGCCCCTTTGCTTCAGGTGGGCCCTCAGTCTCTCTTCATGTGAATGGACTAGTAAGAATGAAGGGGACTGGCAGGTAATTTCTGTCCCATGACCCTTCCTTCAGCCTGATTTATGGATGAATGCTAGGCACCTTGCTCCTTTGAATATACTCTGTATGTTGATTTACTTTTATGTCGAACTTTAATAAATATGATTTTATGGTTTTGAAGAATTTGGCTTTTCTTTTCACCATATCAAATTTGGATTCAGCCCTTAGTCTACATGTAAGCACCCTTTCCTTGGTGTCTCTTAGCTGGGACTTTTGGTCCCACTTTTGGGACCTGTGATGAGGAGGACAAGGTGAGTCTCAGCCAGATCTTGAAAAGCAAAAGCACCAGTGACTGTCACTGCTGAGCCAAGTGATTATCTGGCAAGAAGGAGAGTTGTTTTAAAGATAGGAAGGTCTCAGTTCATTTGTGCAGGGCGGGGAGGGGAGAATATGTTTAAAGCACCTTTTACATTAGGCAGCCTCTTGGTTGTATATATTTCAGTCACGTCCCTTACATGTACAGCAATATCATGCTTAAGTCAACCACTTGGCCTTCAATTTGAATTGAGAAGGTTATCATTTCTTAACATTGCCCAGGTATAAAATAATATAATTGGTAGGTAGAAATGGTTTTGTTGTTGTTTTTGTTGTTTTAGATATATACTATGTGATTTATATCTTGATTTTTAATACTTCATAGATGTAAATATATTAATAGTTTTCTAGATGACTCCTCCTCTCCTCTGTCCCTCCCAGCCAAGTGAATCACAATCAAAATAGACAAGATCAGCAAATAGATAATTGCAAAGTACCTGCAATAAGTAGCACCCATCTACTATGTTATTTGTTCTGTGGCACCTAAGAAAATAATACTTACAGATGACTTTTATTGGAAGAAAAAGTTGATGGATGGATAGATAGGTCAATCTGCAAAGGTAGAGGTGAAGTTCAGTTTTCTTAAAATTTTCTTGAATTATATTAGTGATCAATAAAACTCTTTGTATGGAACAAATCTTCTAAGAATACTTTGTAGTGGAAATATTTTTGCAGGGAAGGGATGTTAGCTCAGTGGTGGGAGCTCACCTGGCCTGTGCAAGGCCCTGGGTTCAATCCCCAACACTAAAAAAAGAAAGAAAGAAAGGAAAGAGAAGAAATCTTTTCTGCATAGATGTTTAAATATCCAGTGTTTATTACTAAGTCACAACTACCTTACTCTATACAGTTGGTTATTTTTTAAAAAGACACAGAGTCAGCAGCTACACCAATTTTATGTTTCTGTACTTATAATTTTTGGAGCCATCTACCAGTGACAACTTAAGTGTAAACTGACATTTGATATATCTCAAAGTCCACACATTGACCCTTTGAAGAATGATTTACAACATCTGTGCTGCCCCCCCCCGCCCCCCCCACCCTGTGTAGCTACTCCACTAAGGAAACCTCCCTTCTATCCTGGCTTTGACTCATGAACCAAGGGATTCATAGTCAGAGCTCTTTGTATCTGTCAGTATTGTGTATGTGACGTGATAGAACATGCTTTTTTCTATAAATTGTCAGTGCTAAGTCCAGAGATGAGGGCTAAATAATAGCATATGTTAGCCAATTGGGGGTGGGAACCTCCTGTAATCTTTTGTTTCTAGACTTTCTTTTTTAGGTGCATCTATTGGCCCCATTATCTTATACAGATTTAATATGATAACTTTAAAATATTTGCTCCTGTGCTATAAAAACTAATATCAAATGTATTCCCTAAGTTTTCCAGAGATTTAATCTTGCTTTTTTTTCCTCTGAAGTTTACTAGGCATTTCATTATATTTAGTTTATGCTGTCTGCCTTTCATACATGCTTATCTCATAAGAAACTACTGATAATCTCAAGCTTTTTGTTTGTTTGTTTGTTTATTCATTTATTCATATGTACATACATTGTTTGGGCCATCTCTTCCACCCCGCCCCCGAATCTCACGCTTT